TCTGCAGAGTGCTCTGAGCCTCCTCCACATCTGCAGAGTGCTCTGAAGCACCTCCACATCTGCAGAGTGCTCTGAGCCTCCTCCACATCTGCAGACTGAAAAGGAGGGGTTATGTGCACAGCTGTAGCCAAAGGTCAGGGCCCGAGGGCTTGCTCTGCGCTCTGTAGTTTTTCTTGTATTAGTTATAACTCTTTTATTATTTTTAATTTTATTAGAAAAAAAGGGAAATGTGGTGATATTTTATTTGTATCTTAATAAAGTTTGCCTGGAGATCAGAGGTCATAGCCAGCCATAAACAAAAGTCAGGCAGTGGTGGCACATGCCCTTAATCCGATCACATGGCAGGCAGAGTCTCTGTGTGTTCAAGGGCACAGCCAAGCATGGTGATCCACACCTTTAATCCCAGAACCAACCATAGAGACCTGGAGGTCTGTACAGACAGGCAGTGACAAGGAAGTGAGGTGGCTGGGCTAAGAGCCAATGAGAGGGCAGAACAAGGCAATAAAGGTTCAGGTCAGACAGGAAGAAGTGGTCTTGGGAAGCTATGGCAGCGTGGTGAGCTAAGGCTAGCTGGTGGCTCTCACCCTGTATTTGGCTCTGTGTTCCTTATTTAATAAGACTGCTTAGAAATTCGTCTACAATTTCTGGTACCAAACTAAGCCAAATCCACTACTTGCTACAGAAATTCACTTAAAAATTGTTACTGTGGGCATCGGAGCCTCAGACATTCCCCAGCTCTCTGGGTCACCCCCGTTCTTGGCACAGCATACCTCTGTCTTCTTTAATAAACTTCTTTATAAATAAAAAAAAGTCTTAATTATGCATGTGTGTCTGCATGTGGGTACACATGTGAGTGCAGGTGCCTTCAGGGCCAGAGGCATCGCATGCCCCTGGGGCTGGCATGTCACAAGTGCTTGTGAGCTGCTGCATGTGGGTGCTTTGTGTGCACTTGTGGGGATGTGAATGCAAGCATGCGCAGCACAGCCATGGAGGGCAAAAAGAGGAAAAAAATCCAAAACAAAAACAACAACAACAAAAAACCACATGCGCTGGGCAGCGGTGGTGCCCACCTTCGATCCCAGCACTTGGGAGGCAGAGGCAGGTGGATCTCTGTGAGTTCGAGGCCAGCCTGGTCTACAAAGCGAGATCCAGGATAGGCTCCAAAGCTACACAGAGAAACCCTGTCTCGAAAAACAACAACAAAAACCCCACGTCTATGGTCATTTTCTTGCAGAGAGGGCCTCTTATCGGCCTGGCACTGCAAGTTGGCCAGGCTAGCTGGCACACGAGCTCGAGGGCCCTGCCAATCTCTGCCTTCCTCTTCACCATCACTGGGTTGTAGGTAGACACCTCACCTGGCTTATTGGGTTCTGGGGATCTGAACTCAGTTCCTTACATTTGCAAGGCAAGTGATTTACCAATTGAACCATCCCCTATTTCCCAAATTTAAAATATTTGTAAGCTGGGTATAGCGGTGCACACCTTTAATCTCAGCACTCGGGAGGCAGAGGCAGGCGGATCTCTGTGTGTCTGAGACCAGCCTGGTCTATAGAGGGAGTTCCAGAATAGCCAGACCCTCCTGTCTTTTTTTCCTTTTTCTTTTCCTTTAGCTCTCTCTATGTAGTTCTAGCTGTCCTGGAACTCACTCTGTAGACCAGGCTGGCCTCAGACTCAGAGACCTGCCTGCCTCTGCCTCCCTAGTGCTGGGATTAAAGGCGTGTGCCACCATCACCCAACAAGACCCTGCCTTAAAGAAAAGAAAACAAAACAAATTACATTTTGTTTAAATTGTGTGCATGTGTGCGCCTGGGTGTGGGTGCAGGCGTGGAGGTCAGAGTTGGTTCCCTCTTCCCATCATGTATGTTCTACAAACCAAACTCAGGTTGCCAGCCCTATGGCAGGACTCTTGGGAGGCCCAGGCTTCGGGGCTACTGTGGCAGCCAACATACTTCATTTTCTAAGGTCTAAGAACTTCAATTCCCAACAGTCCTATGGCAGGTTAAAAAAAATAAATAAAAAAACAAACCCCGAAAAATTAATGTGCATGGGTGTTTTGCCTGCAGGTATGTATGTGTACTGTGTAATACCCTCAAGGCCAGGAGGGCACTGGATCCCCTGGCACTGGAATTAGAGGGCTGTGAATGCCACACTAGTGCTGGGGTCCTCTGGAAGAGCAGCCAGTGCTCTTAACTGCGGATACATCTCTCCAGGCCTCCTACCTCCCATGCCCCTTTCATATAGACACTTTTTGTCTCTGTGGCTCTTGGGAGTTGTAGTTCTTCTGTATTCCTCAAGCCTGGTCTGCTCAGTTAGAGGACATGGCCATTCCTTAGAATACAGAGGAAAAGAATATTGAAAAAGACCTGGCCCTTCCATGGAAGATCCCAGGCTTAGCAACAGGAAGCGGCAGGGTCTTTGGCCAGTCAGGATATGAAGAGGCTCACAAAGCCCCACTGGGAAGGGTAGACTTCCCATGGCATTCAAGCCCCAGGACCGTCAGGACCTCTCAGGTTCTGGAACACCCTCCCCATCCTACCATGCAGTATGAAGAAGGTCTTGGGGTTGAATCTATTAGGGTCCAGTCCATCCAGCTCCTCCCACACCTCCTTCAATTGGGCTTGGCTGCCCTGTGGAGAAGAATAGCACAGCTTGTGAACAATGAGTATCAGGTCAGATAGCCCCATGTGCCCATCCAATAAACTTTAATCCTCCTCTCGTAAGAACTACAGTTCCCGGCTGGAGAGATGGCTCAGAGGTTAAGAGCACCAGCTGCTCTTCTAGAGGCCCTGAGTTCAATTCCCAGCAACCACATGGTGGCTCACAACCATCTATAATGAGATCTGGTGCCCTCTTCTTACCTGCAGGGATACATGACACAGAATACTGTATACATATAATAAATAAATCTATCTTTAAAAAAAAAAGAACTACAGTTCCCAGCAACCCTTGGAGCAGTTCCATATAGGTAGATTGACTTTTTGCCTCAATGCCTCTTGGGAGTTGTAGTTCTGCAGCTGCATTTTGTTTGTTTTTGTTTTCCTGTTTATGAGTTGGACATGGTAAAGCATATGTGGGGTTCTTACAGGGACGTTGACTTTGGGGTGTTCCCGGTGTCTGCGCTGTTGCTCTTGTAGCTTCCTCTCAGCCTCCTTCCGCTGTTCCTCTCCCAGAGATTCCAGGTAACGTCTTCGCTCATGTTCCTTGAGCATCTCGTAGCGTTTGAACTCTTCATGATGTGCAGCATCATACTGGGCAAGGTCTCGGGTGGCCTGTGGAGAGGCAAGAGGGTCATGTTCCTCCTGTCTTTCAGACACCTGGCATGACTTCACTTTCTTGGTCTCCATGGTTGGTCCCATCACAGCAAACCCTGGGCCGCTTTCCCAGAGCGATGATGTTTATGCAGTAGCAGCTTGGATGTGAATCTTCAAAGTCCTCCTCAGCTCAGCGTTTCAGTAATGAGCAGGGGACGGCCCGTGAGGTGGGCTTAATAGAAATAGCAGCATAGCCTGGGTAGCCAAGAACATGTCAGGTAGGACCAGCCTGCAATCTCAGCGCTTGGGAGGCTGAGACAGGAGGATGGCAAATTCTAAGCCAGCCTGGGCTACATATCAAGACACTGGCTCAAAACAAATCTCTCTCTCTCTCTCTCTCTCTCTCTCTCTCTCTCTCTCTCTCT